TAGAGGGCAGGAACACTCCTGGGATGGCCACAGTGAGTCCCAGATCTGTCCTTAAGTCTGAGACAGTGGTCTAGCCATCACTTTGTATCGCCACAGGCTTTCTTTATATTTCCATAGGGCGTTACTCACCAGCAGTGGTATCTGTTCAATGACTTTCTTATTGAACCTATTGATAAGGTTAGTTGCAACATGTTCTCTTTCTTCTTTCATTTCCCCTTTTCCTAGCATCCTTATCTTTAGGGCCCTATAGAATGCCAGGCAGATTCAACAGGGAGGGAAGAAGGAATCCTCAGAAATAAAAACCATTAGCACTTAAAAATAGCACCTAAAAAAAAAACAAACAAACTAGCACCTGAGTCCTGGCCTCTTGTCTGAAGTGGGGAAAAGGAAAGGGGTGATATACATTAGCCATAAGTGCTTTTTCTCTTCTATAGCATGAAGCTGTGCAGTTTGACATGAATTGGAAAGTACCTGCAATCCTTTATTATGTCAAACGGAATCTCAATTCCAGATACAACCTGAACAGTAAGTGCTACACAGTAGACCCAAGTGTGTGGGCAGTTTAGATTGGGCTTCAGGATGAGATCTGGGACATTGCTTGCAAGTACTTAGGATTGGTAACTAGTGTTAATATTTCTGGAGATACTAAAGAGATTCCTGTTTATCAGACCTTAAATTTAGAAGCACGAAATCCAGCCTGAGCAACATAGCAAGACCCCATCTCTTAAATTTTTTTTTTTTTTTTTTTTTTTTTTTTTTTTTGAGATGGAGTCTCACTGTGTCACCCAGGCTGGAGTGCAGTGGCACAGTCTCGGCTCACTGAAACCTCTGCCTCCTGGGTTCAAGCGATTCTCCTGCCTCAGCCTCCTGAGTAGCTGGGATTACAGATGCCCGCCACCACGCCTGGCTAATTTTTTTGTATTTTTAGTAGAGACAGGGTTTCACCATGTTGGTCAGGCTGGTCTCGAACTCCTAACCTCATGATCTGCCCGCCTCGGCCTCCCAAAGTGCTGGAATTACAGGCGTAAGCAACCACACCCAGCCTAAAAAAAATTCTCTTTTTTTTTTTTTTAATTAGCCTGTGTAGGCCAGGCACAGTGGCTTATGGCCTGTAATCCCAGCATTTTGGGAGGCTGAGGAGGGCAGATCACTTGAGCTCAAGACCAGTCTGGGCAACATGGTGAAACCCTGTCTCTACAAAAATTACAAAAAGTAGCCGGGTGTGGTGATGTGCTCCTGTTGTCTCAGCTACTTGAGAGGCTGAGGCAGGAGAATCACTTCAGCCTGGGAGTCGGAGGTTTCAGTGAGTCGAGATTGCATCATTGCACTCTAGCCTGGGTGACAAGAGTGAAACCCTGTCTCAAAAAAAAAAAAAAAAAAAAATTTAGCTGAGTGTGGTAGCATATACTTGTGGTCCCAGCTAAAGCTGGAGAGGCTGAGGTGGGAAGATCACCTGAGCCCAGGAGGCCAAGGCTACAGTGAGTAAGCCATGATTGTACCAGAGTGTACTCCAGCCTAGGCAACTGGATGAGACCGCTTTTTTTTTTTTTTTTTTTTTTGACAGAGTATTACTCTTGTTGCCCAGGCTGTAGTGCAATGGCACAATTTCGGCTCACTGTGACCTCCACTCCCAGGTTCAAGCAGTTCTCCTGCCTCAGCCTCCCGAGTAGCTGGGACTACAGGTGCCTGCCACCATGCCCGGCTAATTTTTTGTATTTTTAGTAGAGATGGGGTTTCACCATGTTGGCCAGGTTGGTTTTGAACTCCTGACCTTGTGATCTGCCTGCCTTGGCCTCCCAAAATGCTGGGATTACAGCCGTGAGCCACGGTGCCCAGCCTGAGACCCTGTCTTTAAAAAAAAAAAAAGAAAAAACAACGCTCTAAATCTTGAGAGTGGAGTGGAAATGAGATGAGGGGGGACGTTTGGTCCGAATGGCTTAGGTTATGATGTTACATCTAATTATTATTTTTTGTGGGACAGAGTTTTGCTCTTGTTGCCCAGGCTGGAGTGCAATGGCGTGATCTTGGCTCACTGCGACCTCTGCCTCCCGGGTTCAAGTGATTCTCCTGCCTCAGCCTCCCAAGCAGTTGAGATTATAGGCAGGTGCCACTACGCCTAGCTAATTTTTTTGTTTTTTGTCTAATTAGTAGAGACGGGTTTTACCATGTTGGCCAGGCTGGTCTCAAACTCCTGACCTGGTGATCTGCCTGCCTTGGCCTCCCAAAGTACTGGAATTACAGGCATAAGCCACTGCGCCTGTCTCATGTCTAATTATTCTTACCCCAAATGAAGATCTCTTTTGGAGGTGAGCTCCTTTTTTTTTTTTTTTTTTTTTTTTTTTTTTGAGACGAAGTCTTTCTCTTGTTCCCCCAGGCTAGAGTGCGATGGCGTGATCTCGGCTCACTGCAACCTCTGCCTCCGGGGTTCAAGTGATTCTCCTGCCTCAGCCTCCTGAGTAGCTGGGATTACAGGCGCATACCACCACACCTGGCTAATTTTTGTATTTTTAGTAGAGACAGGGTTTCACCATGTTGGCCAGGCTGGTCTTACACTGCTGACCTCAGGTGATCTGCCCGCCTTGGCCTCCCAAAGTGCTGGGATTATAGGCATGAGTCACCACGCCCAGCTGTGAGCTCCTTATTAAGTACCTATTTGGTATCTTTAAACCATAGTTTCTCTGTAACCTTTTTCTGGATTCTCTAAACTAAGGTCCAAGTGAAAATCTTATTCTTTATTCTCTGTGGTCTTTTCTGGTTTTTTTCTCAGCATGTTTGTTGATAATTTTGTGATGTGACCTGCTCTACCTGTCCCATTTATCAGACATGATCTTTTTTCTCACGTGCTTTGATTATTGAGGGGTCACAGTGAAGACCCAGAGTCTATCAGCCACATTGGGCTTCTCTTCCCTAGTCACTTCGCTATCCAAGCCCTGTGTCCTCTTCATTCTCCCTTCTAGTCAAGAACCCTATTGAGGCAAGTGTCTTGCTGGCTGAAGCCTCGCTGGCACGGAAGCAGCGGAAAACACATACTACCTTTATTCCACTGATGCTGAATGAGATGCCACAGATTGGGGACCTGGTGGGTCTGGATGCTGAGTTTGTCACCCTTAATGAGGTAACCAAGACCAAAGGGATGGGGCATTGGAAGAGAACTCTCAGGATATTAGGAGTTGTAAGCATTTCTCTGATTTCCTTATTAACTCTTCTCATGTAGGAGGAAGCAGAGTTACGCAGTGATGGTACCAAGTCTACCATTAAACCAAGTCAGATGTCAGTAGCCAGGATTACCTGTGTCCGGGGCCAGGGACCTAATGAGGGTATCCCCTTCATTGATGACTACATCTCTACCCAGGAGCAGGTATTAAGATACAGAGATGCAAGTGAGGCACACCCTGGTGCTTATGTACAGTGCTCAAGAACCCAGGGAAGAGTGATAGGGGAAAACTCCACCTCACTTCCTGAAAAAGACTTGTCCTTTTCTCTATTCCTAGGTGGTGGATTACTTGACTCAATACTCGGGTATAAAGCCTGGTGACCTCGATGCCAAAATTTCCTCCAAGCACCTAACAACTCTCAAGTCTACCTACTTAAAGCTTCGTTTTCTCATTGACATTGGAGTCAAGTTTGTGGGTCATGGCCTGCAGAAGGACTTCCGGGTCATCAACCTGATGGTTTGGCAGGGCTCTTTTAAGAGTCTTCTTGTGAGAGTGGGCCCCTCAGGGTATACATTGTGCCTTCAGAGAATGGGAAATTATAGTCCCCTACCTTAAGTCTCCCCCTCTTTTATCTTTGCCAGGTGCCCAAGGACCAAGTCCTTGATACTGTCTACCTGTTCCACATGCCCCGAAAACGAATGATTTCCCTGCGATTCCTTGCTTGGTACTTTCTGGGTGAGTTGCTCTGCCTTGTAGGCCCCTGTGGTGTACATTAATAGCAGAAGCAGCCATTTAAAAAAAAAGAAATCGTGTCCTTTGCAGCAACATGGATGGAGCTGTGGGCCATCATACTAAGTGAACTAACTCAGAAACAGAAAATCAGATACCACATATTCTCACTTATAAGTTGGAACTAAACAATGAGTACATATGGACGTAAGGATGGAAATAATAGACACTGGGGACTCTAAAAGTGGGGTTGGTGGGGGATGGGTGAGGGTTGAAAATTACATATTGGCTGCATAGTTCACTATTTGCATATTAGGGATACCAGAAGCCCAGTCCTCACCAGTACATGATATACCCATGTAGCAAACATGCACATGTACCCCAAATCTAAAATAAAATTTAAACATAAAAAATAAAAGCATGGGGGGAAAAGAAAAAGTAGGAAAAGTGTTAGAGGACAAAGTGGGAGTAGGGGTGACCCTCAGTTAGTGGTGACAGTTACTAATGGATTTAATTAACTTCAATATCCCTTCTGTGCAATGAAGAAGATGTTTGACAATTTCCCTTAAGGACAGTCAGGCTTTTTAGTTTTCTGGAGTCAGGTAGGAGCGGGGAGACATGTTCCTACCTCCCTTTGCTGGGTCCCAAACTATTCCACCTTTACTTACCCCAGACCTGAAGATTCAAGGGGAAACCCATGACAGTATTGAGGATGCACGCACAGCCCTTCAGCTCTACCGAAAGTATCTGGAGCTAAGCAAAAATGGCACTGAGCCTGAGTCTTTCCACAAGGTGCTCAAGGGTCTTTATGAGAAGGGCCGAAAGATGGACTGGAAGGTGCCTGAGCCTGAGGGCCAAACAAGTCCCAAGAGTAAGACCTGGGATGGGACAAGGGAAACTGGACTGGGTGGATTTTGTATTTTGTTTGTAACAGGGTCTCACTCTTACCCAGGCTGAAGTGCAGTAGCGTGATTACAGCTCACTGCAGCCTCGACTTCCTGGGCTCAAGTGATTCTCCCACCTCAGACTCCCAAGTACCTGGGACAACAGGCACACACCACCACACCCAGCTAATTTTTGTACTTTTTGTAGAAACAGGGTTTTGCCATGTTGCCCAGGCTGGTCTTAAACTCCTGGGCTCAAGCGATCCATCCACCTTGGGCTCACAAAGTGCTGGGATTACAGGCATGAGCCCAGCGCCCCCAACTGGGTGGATTTTGATTGCACATATGGAGAATAGCACTTCACAGTTTACAAAGCACTTCATCCTCCTAACATTCAGTGAAATACATTTTATCAAAACTCTCCATTAACTATAACTTCCTCTTGCCCAAGTCTAAAATGTTCAGGGAAGGTCCATGCCCTTTTTTCTCTTGCATTTTTCCTTCATAGGAAGTAATGAGAAGATGCTTTTTTCTCTACTCAGCTTGAATCATGCTTTTGGTTTTGTCTCTGACAGATGCAGCTGTCTTCTCCTCAGTGCTGGCGCTCTGACTACCCTTCCCAAAGAACCACTGCCCTCTCCCTTTACTGTTCTATAGCCCCAGAACTGGGAGATGGCTTCCTTAGTTGGCTATACCTTGTCCACTTCCAGTACTGGACGTGCTCAGGGTCTAGAGTCTCAGATGGTGCTATTAATAGAACTGGAACACAGCAGAATTGTTGCAAAGGTTCTAGGAGCCAGATTCATTCCTCCTTCATCCTTTGCAAAACAGTGGCACAGAAACAGAGTCTAGAATTGACCCAGATGGAAAGTAATTGGTATTCTTAATATCCTGGGTCACTAATATCCAGGCAGAGAAGCTCCTGGAACCATAATTGTCAGTTCCTAGCTGGCTAGGGATTGAAGTCCTGGACAGCGACAGAGGATACCACGGTAGTTCAAGACAGCACAAGTCACCAACTGCTTCAGGGATGCCTGGAGGGGCCAGCAAGTAGAGTGTTGGTGGCCCAAACAAACCAGTGTTGCCAATACCATTGCCAAAAGGGCCTTTGGATCCTGGACAAAGCTTGGCTGCTGGCTTCATTTATTCCTGCTGATGGCTGAGAAGCATCTGTCTTCCATCCACTCTCCTGTCCCAAGTTTTGTTCCGTTTTTTAAAAATTTGTTGTAAACTGCATGTTTTATAAAATAAAAACAAAATACCGTTTGTCATTTATCTCATTAGGGAACTGCTAGTGTGGGTTCTCTGGCTTCAGTCTTCCTCTCCTTCCTTTGAAGGTAAAGGTCCGGAATCCAAAGTTATGGATATGAAAGGGTATAATTAGGCCAGGCGCAGTGGGTCACTTCTGTAATCCCAGCACTTTGGGAGGCCGAGGTGGGTGGATCAGGTCAGGAGTTCAAGACCAGCGTGACGAAGATGGTGAAACCCCCGTCTCTACTAAAAATACAAAAATTAGCTGGGCGTGGTGGGTGGCGACTGTAATCCTAGCTAAGGCAGAGAATTGCTCGAACCCGGGAGACGGAGGTTGCAGTGCGCCAAGATTACGCCACTGTACGCCAGCCTGGGCAATAGGGCGAGACTCCGTCTCAACAAAAGGAAAAAAAAGGTATAATTATGCCTTTTCTGGGCAATGCTGGGTCTCTGCTGTAGCTGCCCAGTACCCTACGTCAGACTGAAGATGTACAGTACGGTTTCCCCGTTAATTGTGTAAGCCGACAAACTACAGGTCCCAGGATAGCTTGAGACCTGTAGTTGCTCACAAAGATGGGTCTGGTGCTGCGGTGCTTCCTGGGAGATGTAGTTTCCTGTGTATTGAAACCTGGGCTGCTCGCTGGCCTGCAGAGCACCGTTTTGAAGGTCCTAGCCCACCTGAGTTGGCTCACGCGCACGACTAGCCGCTCCCATACAGTACACCCGGCCTCCGTCGTCTCTTAAGGCCACTCCTATTCTACGGCTGACCCCTGGAGGTCACGTGGAGCTGTTCGCCACGCAAGTCTGGGTCCTTCAGCGATTGACCGGGGTCCTTGCTGTCCAGGAGCCTCTCCCAAGCTGCCTGTTCGCGCGAGAGTTTGGAGGGGCGGGTTTGGGGTCGGTGTCTGATTGGGGCTCGCACCGCAGCACGCTCGAGCCCCGCTAGGTACCAGTTAGCGCCACGGGATCTGGGTCAGGCGGTCGCCGGGACACCCCGTGTGTGGCAAGCGGCGAAGCGCTCTGGAGGATTCCGGACAGCCCTGCTCCCCGCAGCCAGCTGTAGTTTCGGGAGCCACTGGGGCCAAAGTGAGAGTCCAGCGGTCTTCCAGCGCTTGGGCCACGGCAGCGGCCCTGGGAGCAGAGGTGGGACGGATGCGAGCGGCGAGGCGCTGGGCGCTGAGGGTTGGGGATGGACTGGAGCGAAAGCAATGGCGGAGTCCTTAGAAAGGGGGCTGAGGTCCGTAAGGATAATCAACTTACGGGCTGGAGATGGGGACGCAGGAATCTTCGGTGCGGGATCCAAATGGGCCCTAATTATTGAATGCTGGCCTCCTGGCCTGACTGAGGGCTCCCTGCTGGCATTTCCCTAGTGCCTGTAGTCCTCGCGTAATTGCCAACTTACCTCCTGTAGCTGCCACAAAGCCCCGTGAACCCTAGGCATGCAGTGCTAAAGTACCAACACCTAGGGCCTCACCTTTCCACGTAGAGTCTGGGACTGAGCCCCAAGTCCTGAGCTCGCGCTCCCACCTACCGCCCTGGGGGAATCAGAGCCCTCAAGCGCTGGAACAGAGAAGCCCCTTTGTGTCCCGGCCATTTCCTGGAAAGTAGAGCCAGAGTCACAGTGAAGCCTTTTAAAGCCTTGGGGTGAGGAGTGGGGGGGTCAGGGAAAAATGGAGTCGGCTTCTCACCCTTGTTTTATTCCCACACAAACCCAGGTGGAGCGACCCCATTACGCTAAAGATGAAAGGCTGGGGTTGGCTGGCCCTGCTTCTGGGGGCCCTGCTGGGAACTGCCTGGGCTCGGAGGAGCCAGGATCTCCACTGTGGAGGTAAAGGCACAACAGGAAAAAGAAGTGGAGGAAGCAGAGCCTTGGGAGGGCATGAGATCCAAGGCCTGGGAGAAGGAGGAATGAAAATCCTGGGTTGATCCCATTCTCCTCACACCCTACCCCCACCCTCTCCCCTGCTCCCATTCTCTCCTCTTCCACCAGCGTGCAGGGCTCTGGTGGATGAACTAGAATGGGAAATTGCCCAGGTGGACCCCAAGAAGACTATTCAGATGGGATCTTTCCGGATCAATCCAGATGGCAGCCAGTCAGTGGTGGAGGTAACTGTTACTGTTCCCCCAAACAAAGTAGCTCACTCTGGCTTTGGATGACAATTCGACTGCTTAAAAAGGACCTTAGTTTAATAGAAATGAAGAAAATAGACTCAGAGAGATATCTAAAAGATTTGGCTCTGTCTCATTTGGAAGAGGCTGCAGGCTTATTCCCCATGCACTTGCTTCCTGGCTCCAAACCTTAATACTTTGTTTCTGCTGTAGAATTTGTTAGCAAACAGGGAGTCCTGATCAGCCCCCTTTTCCACATCCACATGACTCGTTTTTACTGTAGCACTGTGGTATACATACAAACGTCCATTCAAAATCTGAGTCAGAGCTAAAAATAAAAAATGAAAAATAAGAATAAAAGGTTTTATCATAATTAGGAAATTTTAGTCGAAAACAACACACATGTACACAAAGGTATATCTAATAAGTAATATATAAGGCAATGTTAAGATTATGGTGCTAGCCTGGGCATCATGGCAAAACACCATCTCTACAAAGAAATGCAAAAGTTAGCAGTGCATGGTGGCATGTGCCTGTAGTGACCGCTACTTGGAAGGCTGAGGTGGGAGGATCACTTGAGCTTAGAGGATCACTTAAGCTCAAGAGGTCAAGGCTGCAGTAAGCCGTGATCGTGCCACTGCACTCCAACCTGGGAAACACAGCAAAACCCTGTCTCAAAAAAAAAAAAACAAAACCCAGCACTTTGGGAGACTGAGCCAGGCAGATCACCTGAGGTTAGAAGTTTGAGACCAGCCTGGCCAACATGGTGAAACTTCATCTCTACTAAAAATACAAAAAATTAGCCAGGTGCGGTGGCGCATGCCTATAGTCCCAGCTACTCAGGAGGCTGAGGCAGGAGAATCAATTGAACCCAGGAGGCGAAGGTTGCAGTGAGCCAAGAACACACCTCTGCACTCCATTCTGGTTGACAAGAGCAAAACTCTGTCTTGGGAAAAAAAAAAAGATTATGGTACCTTAATAGCTGTTGTCCCCAGAGCCTACACTACCTCTTTAATACTGTGCTTACTGAGGATATTAGTCTCAATTTTAAAAAATTATTATTATTTTTGAGTCAGAGTTTCGCTCTTGTTGCCCAGGATAGAGTGCAATGACACGATCTTGGCTCACTGCAACCTCTGCTTCCCGGTTTCAAGCGTTTCTCCTGCCTCAGCCTCCCAAGTAGCTGGGATTACAGGCATGCACTACCATGCCTGGCTAATTTTGTATTTTTAGTAGAGACAGGGTTTTTCCATGTTGGTCAGGATGGTCTTAAACTCCTGACCTCAGGTGATCCACCCTCCTCGGCCTCCCAAAGTGCTGGGATTACAGGCGTGAGCCACCGTGCCTGGCCAAAAATATATATATATTAATGAGAACACATGGACACAGGGAGGGAAACATCACACATCAGGTCCTGTTGGGGTGTGGGGGGCTAGGGGAGGGATAGCATTAGGAGAAATACCTAATGTAGATGACAGGTTGATAGGTGCAGCAAACCACCATGGCACATGTATACCTAGGTAACAAACCTGCACGTTCTGCACATGTATCCCAGAACTTAAAGTATAATTTAAAAAAAAAAAATTCTCTTCATCTATAGAAATTAAAAGTATAAGTTGGTCAGGGTTAATCAAAAAATTCTGTTTATAATTTGGAGCTAATGTTAACTGTCTTGTTTCTTAGAATTGTACAATGAAGTGCCGGGCACCGTGGCTCATGCCTGTAATCCCAGCACTTTGGGAGGCTGAGGTGGGTGGATCACCTGAAGTCAGGAGTTTGAGACCAGCCTGACCAACATGGAGAAACCCCGTCTCTACTAAAAATACAAAATTAGCTGGGCGTGGTGACACATGCCTGTAATCCCAACTACTCGGGAGGCTGAGGCAGGAGAAATCACTTGAACCCGGGAGGTAGAGGTTGCAGTGAGCCAAGATTGCGCCATTGCACTCCAGCCTGGGCAACAAGAGTGAAACTCCATCTCTAAAAAAAAAAAAAAAAAGAATTGTACAATGAGGTAAAATCAAATCATATATTTGAAACTACTGCCAAGTACAGTGGCTCATACCTGTAATCCCAGCACTCTGGGAGACTGAGGCAGGCAGATCACTTGAGTGCAGGAGTTCGAGACCAGCCTGGGCAACATGGCAAAACCCTCTACAAAAAAAATACAAAAAAGTAGCTGAGCCTTGTGGTGCGCACCTGTGAGAGGCTGAGGTGGGAGGATCACCTGAGCTTGAGAAATCCAAGCTGTAGTGAGCCTCAGTCATCACACCACTGCACTCTAGCCTGGGCAATGCAGTGAGGCCTGTCTCACAAAAAAAAAAAAAAAAGTACTTTGAAACTATCAAGTAAACTGTACTAATTAAAAACCACACTAGGCCGGGCACAGTGGCTCACATCTATAATCCCAGCACTTTGGGATGCCGAAGCAGGCAGATCACCTGAGGTCTGGAGTTTGAGACCAGCCTGACCAACATGGAGAAACCCCATCTCTACTAAAAATACAAAAGTTAGCTGGGTGTGGTGGTGCATGTCTGTAATCCCAGCTACTCAGGAGGCTGAGGCAGGAGAATCACTTGAACCCAGGAGGCGGAGGTTGCAGTGAGCCAAGATTGTACCATTGTGCTCTAGCCTGGGCAACAAGAGCAAAACCCCATCTCAGGAAAAAAAAAAAAAAAAACTAATTAAAAATTAAAATCAATTAGGGAAAGCTTTTTAGAATAGGTTGTTAGAGCTAGATTTGGAAAGAAAAGTAAGGATATAAATTACTAATGTACAGAGGTAGAAGAGAGTGACCCAAGGCTGAGGACATTTCTAGGTGCCTTATGCCCGCTCAGAGGCCCACCTCACAGAGCTGCTGGAGGAGATATGTGACCGGATGAAGGAGTATGGGGAACAGATTGATCCTTCCACCCATCGCAAGAACTATGTGCGTGTAGTGGGCCGGAATGGAGAATCCAATGAACTGGACCTACAAGGCATCCGAATTGACTCAGATATCAGTGGCACCCTCAAGTTTGCGGTGAGCTATGGGAATCAGTAGCTGGTTCTTGGACATTAAGGGGTTGTTGGAGAACCAGTTAGAAAGTTAGGCTGATATCCTTGTCCTCCTCTTTGGAAGTGAAGGCAAGAGGCCTTTTATTGCCCTGTGTCACCCATTTCTCCCTTGGGTTGGCAGTGTGAGAGCATTGTGGAGGAATACGAGGATGAACTCATTGAATTCTTTTCCCGAGAGGCTGACAATGTTAAAGACAAACTTTGCAGTAAGCGAACAGGTAAGCTGCCCCCACTTTATCTCCTGTTCTAGTAGCTCTGTGGAACCTGATATTCCCTAACTCACCCATACACCCCCATCCCAGAAACCTCTGGTATTAGCTCAAGGGCTGTCTTCCATTTCCCTTGGCTTAGAGACTTGGGGTGTTCCTACCCATTTTCTGTCAGCTTTCAGAATTTTTTGTCCCTTTGACCCTGAGATACAGGTGAGAGGGCAGTGGGGATGTTTTATCATTTATAAGCATATATTCTGCAGAATGGTGGTTGGTGTGTGTTTGTGTCAGCTTGGTCTGGGAAATTTTCTCAATACTGGCACATATCAGTATGAGAGTGGCATTTTCCTTTAAATTGTTTGCCATTTGCAGATCTTTGTGACCATGCCCTGCACATATCGCATGATGAGCTATGAACCACTGGAGCAGCCCACACTGGCTTGATGGATCACCCCCAGGAGGGGAAAATGGTGGCAATGCCTTTTATATATTATGTTTTTACTGAAATGAACTGAAAAAATATGAAACCAAAAGTACAAACTGTGTTGTCTTTTCATGCCCGGAATTGCCCTTACATTAAGCTTGAAGATAAGGAGTTATAGACAGGAAAGATAATGGAGGAGAAAGAAGAGTTTTGGGATTGACACAGGATAAAGGTAGGAGAGGCCTGAACCTTTAATTTTTCTATCTTTTGAGATTCCATTCCACTCATAAACTAGATAAGCTTTCAGTCAGTGCCCACTCAATACCATGTCTTTAAGGTCTAATTTTGGAGAAGAGAGGAACCTCCATGAGGAAGCAGGGGAATATAAGTGTATGGTAGTGTAGAATTCTAGAAATCCTTTGTGTTCATGGCTGTTGAAACATAAAGTAAGACAGAGCTTGGTCTTGAAGGAAATAATGGACATGCATTATTCTTCCTTCCCTCCCCATCCAGATGGAGGGACCAGCAAGAACAGAGACAGGAAGGGGAAAATGGATGTGACCAACTCAGCTGAAAAGTAAGGGCTTTTTCGGATAGGGACAGACGAGGTAAGGAATATTGTTTAATGAGAGGCCTTGCTTGCCAGCCTAAGCTTTTAAATTTGATGCCAGTGGCAATAATAAAGTATATCTTTCTTACCTCTATCACTAGCCATTGTCAATCTAGACTATAAGTCTGTCCACACTTCTGTGTGTAGAGATTCTAGACTGGGACATAGGGATGAAAAACCTAAAAGATACCTTCTTTTGGAAACTTCTTTTTTTCTTTTCCTTTTTTTTTCTTTCTAAGACAGAGTCCTGCTCTATCGCCTAGGCTGGCGTGCAGTGGCGCAATCTCGGCTCACTGCAAGCTCCACCTCCCAGGTTCACACGATTATCCTGACTCAGCCTCCCAAGTAGCTGGGACTATAGGCACCCGCCACCGCACCAGCTAATTTTTTTTTTTTGTGAGACCGAGTCTCGCTCTGTCACCCAAGCTGGAGTGCAGTGGCCTGATCTCGGCTCACTGCAAGCTTCACCTCCTGGGTTCATGCCATTCTCCTGCCTCAGCCTCCTGAGTAGCTGGGACTATAGGCACCCACCACCACATCCAGCCAATTTTTTGTATTTTTAGTAGAGACGGAGTTTCACCGTGTTAGCCAGGATGGTCTCGATCTCCTGACCTCGTGGTCACCCGCCTCAGCCTCCCCAAGTGCTGGGTCTCCTGACCTGCAATGCCCGCCCCAGCCTCAAGTGCTGGGATTACAGGTTTGAGCCAATGCCTGGCCCGTGACTCAGCTAATTTTTTTGTATTTTCAGTAGAGGTAGGGTTTCACCATGTTAGCCAGGATGGTCTCGATCTCCTGATCTGGTGATCCACCCGCCTCTGCCTCCAAGTGCTGGGATTACAGGCTTGAGCCAACGTGGCCTGGCCCACCAGCCACTTTTTGTAGCTTTTCAGTAGAGGCAGGGTTTCACCATGTTAGCCAGATGGTCCCATCTCCTGACCTCGTGGTCACCCGCCTCAGCCTCCCCAAGTGCTGGGATTACAGGTGTGAGCCACCGCGCCTGGCGGAAAATTCTTAAATACCCTGATCCTGAGGTGTGGTTGTCTCAGGGTTTCAAATAGAATATCTCCCAGGAACACCTCAAGGAGAGAAGACCTGAATAAACATTTCAAAGGTTTTAAAAATTTTAGAATCTAAAGGAACCTTAGAGGTTGTCTGGTTCACCTCTGCCCATTTTATAGATGAAGATGCTGAGGGCCAGAAAAGCCATAGAACTTCATGAAGTTCTGTATTTAATGGCAAAACTGGGTCTATGAGCTATCTTTCCCAAGTGTCAATCTGATCTAATATAGCTATAGAGTAGCTTCTATTTTAAGTCTTTTTTTTCTAATAATACCTTGCACTAAGCCTGACACATAGAATGCATATATTCCACAAAGCTTTCTTATACCAAAAATCTCTATGAAATCTGACACATTAACTAGAGCACAGAGCAAGCACTCTGATATTTGTTGTCAACTAATATCAACCTGGTGTTAATTCCATCTTCTCCCATCAGCCATAAGAAATGCTGTGTTCTCTCTAGTTTTCCAAACCAACTATTATAAACCTTATTTTTTTCTTTTATGATACATATAAGTAATAATTACGTTTTTTCATGCCCCTGAAAGTATACCCAAGGTTCTGTCCATTTCCTGCTTCGTGCCTAAAAATTCCTTTCTCTTCCATCAGAAAGCTTATCAGAAGTATAAATGAGAGTACTCTTCAAGCCGGGTGCGGTGGCTCATGCCCATAATCCCAACACTCAGGGAGGCCAAGGTGGGAGGATCGCTTGAGTCCAGGAGTTTGAGACTGGCCTAGGCAATATAATGAGACCCCATCTCTACAAAAAATACAAAAATTAGCCGGCATAATTGTGTGCACCTGTGGTCCCAGTGACTCTGGAGGCCAAGGTGGCAAGATCTCGAACCCAGGAGGCTAAGGCTGCACTGAGCTGTGATTGCACTACTGCACTCTAGCCTAGAAAACAGAGTGAGACTCTGTCTCAAATACAATAAAAAGAGTACTCTTCTGGAAACTTAAAACAGTTTTAATTTAGAAAACAAATTATTCATAGTTTTAAATAAATACATTTAATGTTAATCGGTAACAAGTTACTTGTGATGCACCTTACTGGTTTGTCGAAGTACAGCTGTTAAGAACTCTCCAGCTGGAGAGACGTTGTCATTGGTACACAAGGGTATGTCCTATGTAGGAAAGGGTGGATGTTACCTTCTAGGCTTGATTAAGGATACACTTTGTGGGTTTTTAAATTTTTTTTATTTTTTCCTGAGGCAGAGTCTCGCTCTGTTGCCCAGACTAAAGTACAGTGGTGCAATCTTGGCTTACTGCAACCTCCACCTCCCGGTTCAAGCGATTCTCCTGACTCAGCCTCCTAAGTAGCTGGGATTACAGGCATGTGCCATCATGCCTAGCTAATTTTTGAGTTTTTTGTAGAGACAGTGGTGTTTCACCATGTTGGCCAGGCTGGTCTCAAACTCCTGGCTTCAAGTAATCCGCCCACCTCAGCCTCCCAAAGTGTTGGGATTACAGGCATGAGTCACCGTGCCTGGCAGGAAGATACACTTTGCAAACCTCTTATTTTATTATAATAATTATTATTATTATTATTATCTTAGCAAGACAGGGGTCTTGCTCTGTTGCTCAGGCTGGAGTGAAATGGCATGATCATAACTCATTGCAGCCTCTAACTCCTGGCTTCAAGCAATCTTCCTGCCTTGGCCTCCTGAATTTCTAGGATTACAGGCAAGCACCACCATGCCCGGCTTTACACATGTTTTAATTCATATCACAAGGAATCCATGAATTTATCTGAACCCTCTGGAGGTTCATTATAATAAATTATTATAGCCCAGTATTTGGTAGAGTATATACTCTTAACCTTGTAAATCTGATTAAGCTTCAGATGCCTTCTTAATTTATCAGTAAAATGTTAGATGTTAATAAACACTTCCGAAGACAGTGTTAAATGAGGTACAGATATAACAGGAAAGTTTATTATGTGAAAATTTAGTCCTTTAGAAATAACTTTTAGGGCTGGGCGCAGTGGCTCATGCCTGTAATCCCAGCACTTGGGGAGGCCGAGGCAGACGGATCAGTTGAGGCCAGGAGTTCAAGACCAAGCCTGGCCAACATGCCAAAAACTCATCTCTACCAAAACACAAAAATTAGCCAGGTGTAGTGCCATGTGCCGGTAGTCCCAGCTACTAGGGAGGCAGAGGTTGCAGTGAAGATTGCGCCACTGCACTTCAGCCTGGGCAATAAAGTGAGACTCAAAAAAAAGTTTAGGCCAGATGCAGCAGCTCACACCTATAATCCCAACAATTTGGGAGGCTGAGGCAGGAGGATCATTTGAGCCCAGGAGTTTGAGACCACCCTGGGCAACATAGGACCCTGTCTAGGCAAAAAAATTAGCTGGGTATAGTGGCAGGCAGTCCTGTCTACTCAGTAGGCTAAGGTGGGAGGACTGCTTGAGCTAGGGAGGTCGAGATTGCAGTGAGTCATGATCTCGCCACTGCACTTCAGCCTGGGCGACAGAGCAAGACCCTGTCTCAAAAAAAAAGAAACAAAAAAAGTGACGTGGCATGATCTCGACTCATTGCAACCTCCACCTCCCGGGTTCAAGTGATTCTCCTGCCTCAGCCTCCCAAGTAACTGGGACTATAGGCGCCCACCACCATGCCTGGCTAATTTTTGTATTTTTAGTAGAGGTGGGGTTTCACCATGTTGGCCAGACTTGTCTTGAACTCCTGATCTGAAATGATCCACCCACTTTGGCCTCCCGAAATGCTGGGATTACAGGCATGAGCCACTGCCTGGCCAAAAAAAAAAAAAGTTTTACAGAATTTTTTAACTTAAAAAGGATTCATAGGTACAATATTCCTTTAAATATAGGACAGGGGGCAGGTGCAGTGGTTCACGCCTGTAATCCCAGCAGTTTCAGAGGCTGAGGCAGCGGATCACTTGAGCTCAGGAGTTCGAGACCAGCCTGGGCAACATGGAGAAGCCCCACTCTACAAAAAATACAAAAATTAACCAGGCAGGGCACACCTGCAGTCCCAGCCACTCAGGAGGCTGAGGTGGGAGGGTGGCTTGGGCCTAGGAGGTTGCCGTGAGCTGAGATCTTGCCACTGCACTCCACAGCCTGGGTGACAGAGCCAGACTGTCATAAATAAATAGGAATAAACAGCATGGGGAAGGGAAATAATATATGTTGAATACTTGTATAACAAGCACATACACACTCTTTTTTTTTTTTTTTTTTTGAGACAGGGTTTTGCTCTGTTGTCCAGGCTGGAGTACAGTTGTGAGATTATGGCTCACTGCAACCTCCACCTCCCAGGCTCCAGCAATCCTCCCACCTCAGCCTCCTGAGTAGCTGGGACTACAGGCACGTGTCACCAGGCCCAACTAACTTAAAAAATGTTTCGTAGAGATAGGGTCTTGCTGTTTTGCCCAGGCCAGTCTCAAACTACTGGGCTCTAGTGGCCTTCCAAAGTGCCGGG